GAATTCTGCCCACACGTCGTCTTGAGATTTTGTGCGACTTTTATTTTTGGCCATAAAAATGGCCGTAATCCACGGTGCCTTTTAACACACCTACCATTGCTGCTTGTGCGATCCATCTTGCAAAAATATAAGACAAGGCCAGGGCTTAAATTAAAATCCTTAGCCTCTTATCTCCTTCCCACAGGAAAGCAAATCTGTGTTGAAAACCGTAAAATTAAGAGGAGAGCAAGGATAGCATAATTTAGCAAAAATTCATGGCACCAGAGCCTGAGCTGTATGGCTGGAGGGACAGGTCAGACATTAAGGAGCGCTGCCTGCCAAGGCGAGTTCCTAAGGGTGGAGCTCGGGAGACAAGAAAGGCATGCAAAATAGAGAGATCCTTGCGGAAGATCTCTGCAGCGCTGTTGATAACAACCCTAAGAAAATATCTTTGCTGATTACTTGGCAATTACGCTTCTTTTGAGACTTTTAATATGAGAGTCAGAGTAGTCATTCTAAACCAGACTTGAAATGTATTTCGTTTTCAAATTTGGGAGATGAGGCTTTGTTGTTGTTGTTGTTGTTGTTGTTACTCTACTTTAAAAAATAATTTATGATTTTTGCCCCTCCTCTGCCCACCTTGTCTAGCATTCTGAATTCCTTGTATCTCAGATGCCCCTCTTACATAGTTAGTAAATGTCATCATTAACATTTGAAAAGCATTAAAATATTTTTAAGCCTTTTGCACATTTATATGCATAGATGTTTGCGTTAATATATGTAGAGAAAAATCGTGTGGCTTTGATAATGGTGCTCTGTTTAATAAATGCCAAGGGCTAGATGAGCCACGCAAAGGTTGCCATTAGAGAGGACCTGGTAATTATCAAGCAGAAGCATAATTGCCCAACAATCTGCAAAGATACTTTTTTCTTAAGAGTTGTTATAGTAAGCACTATAGAAATCCTATCATTGTCCAAAAGTAGTGTGAATTTCTGCTTCTGCTGTTCTTGGGCACATGAGTTTCTTTTGGGTGGTAGTTGTAATATTAGGTATAAGCATCACCTCGATTATTGTTCTTAATTTCCTTAGGGTGGCCTTCTCATGGAATAAGATACTCTGGCACTTAATTGGTTAAAAAAAAAAGACAAAGCATCAAATTCAAAGTGAGTGTGTACCGTAGGTGCAGCCCCACATGGAAGCGTAACTTTGGAGTCCCCTTAGTCATCGAGATAAGTTCATACGTCTGACCAGTTCACATCGGGACACACGTCAGCCCACTTCCTCGATTTCTTTTTAATAAGATGATTTACTTCTTGAGAAACTCATTTCACATTCATCTCAGCCTGGCATAGCACAGTAAAATTGTCACTAATTCAAACTAATTACAGTGCAGGCCTGCCTGGACTAGTGAGTTCGCTGCACTCTGTTCCCTTGTAGCCTGAGCTGCTCATCCCTGTACAGTTCCTAAACGCACAGCCCCTGAGGATGCTGTAATTAGGAGATGGCTGAAAAATAGAGTGTAACTGTGTCACGTTCCCTTCCTCGGGGAGTGGGGCGGGTCCTTTCTATTTCCATTCTGTCGTTGTTATTATTTGTGAGTATGCATGTACCATATGGAACCAGGTTTGAAGTGGAATGGTTAAAGCCAGTTAATTAGCATAGAGTTTACTTTATGAAAGTTAATGTCCACTCCACTCACCGGGTTTCCAAGAAGATAGTATGTTAGGGATGGGCCATAGTGGCAAACAGCACTAAGCCTGGACTGAAGAACCTGATGTAAGAGAATCTACGCGATCTATCCCTCCTCCTCTCTCATCCACTGTCTGTCCTAACCTCCTCTTCTCTATATACACAGACACACACACACACACATGCACGCATGCAAACATGTTATATTGTCAGTAGCTAGAGTTTCTTTTAAAATGGTCATCTTAATGTTGAGCCTATCTCGAGTCATTGCCCTACTGATGTATTTAGTAAACACTTTCTTGAACCAGAGAACTTTTTTCTATCAGTCTATCTAGTTGAGGTACATCTTACTGTGTAACCCTGGCTGGGTTGGAAATTGCGATACATACTACACCGGCCTTGAGCCCACCTGCCCCTGCCTCCCGAAGCTGGGACTAAAGACATGCGCCTCCACACCTGGCTAGAGTGAAAAGAGGACTTTTAACTTTGCCACAATCAAAATGATCACAGATTTTAAATAAACGCCATGCCAATCTGAATCCTTTTTAAAAAATGTACTGTTACATAGTACTTCCAAATTTAATAAAATTTGCTTGTAAGTTAGACCTAGTGATGCAAGTTACCTGGGAGACTAAGACAGGAAGACTGTACTGAGTTCAAGCCCAGATGGGGTAACTTTCTGAAGCCTGTCTCACGTGCTTCACGTAATAGCTGCCTCACGTAAATAGCTGTTGCACGTGCAAAGCCCTAGTCAGATCGCCAATACAAAAGAAAGTTTCCTTACATTTCACATGTACACACACACACACACACACACACGTACACACGTACACACGTACATACATACATTATGCACAGTATAGTTGGTTGGTTGTTTTGTAGGCCTGTGGATCAGCATAAGTGCCCTCACCAAGAATTTGATCTTGGGAAGCCTTCAATCCTTTTGCTCTTCCCTGTTGTTCTAAAAATTTAACCTCTTCTTACCATTAGCGTTTCTATGGTAGTTGTGGCCTGTCTTCCAGGACCACTGAAACTAATTGAAGGCAGTCATGTGAGGTAGTCTTACTGCTTGAAGCCCATGTTTTCACCATCTCTCTAACAATGGTGAATACAAGCCATAAGATACTACTGCTTACTTGCTTTCCTTTAGAGTGTTCATACCTATACTATAGGTTTCCATTTACATTCTCTGAGTCCTTTGGGGATTTAGTACTGGATGGAATGTCAGAGGTGATTACAGGATAAGAAACTAAAACCCTTGGTAAGTCATCTCTGACTCTGACACATACTGTCGATGCTAAATCCTGTCCTTGTACCACCACGCCCTCCCTGTTCATCAGTTCTCATAATTTTCTCAATAATTTCAAATCTTTTTACAACTGTCTTTTGGAAAGCCTGAATCTCTTAACCTATAAATGTTTCTAAAGATTTCATCAACTAACATAACATAACCTCTGTTCATCATTTTGCACATATGATTCCAAGGTATAAAAAATTTCTATTAATAATCATTTCTCATCTTTGGATATTATTTGGATGGCGTGCAGGGTACCTTCCTGGAGAGATACTCTATCTGCTAACTTATCATTAACAATTATTTTGCTTGTCAAACTCGACAATCTTCCAGATAGTTTTTCAGCACCCTTTGACATGATTGAATTTTGTCTGTCAAATTGTTATCCTTTTCAATGGTATTAATTTTTTCAGCTAACTTTTGATTTTCAATGGTAAAAATTCTTTCAGCCAGCTGTTCATTATTAGTCCATAAAGACTGTATCATTCCTAAAAGTGCCTCATTCTTGGCTCTGTTATCAAACTATTTTTAAGGATATAATATGAAAAACAAAGCTAAGTCCCAATATCAAATAAATGGATGCATCAGAAAAGCCATACAAGCCTTGCAGAATATCATTCATAGTATAAGAAAAAAGGTTATTAAATTCCTGGATGGTGATATGATCTGCCATTATATAACTTTCATATTTATTATTTATTAATCAAATGAACTTGCCTCCGTTGTGAGATTTTGGTAATTGTTGTAGGTCTCTTTATTAGCCAGTAGATGTTGCAGTTGCAGGCATATTGCAGAGAGCTGTGACCTGCAGCAGCATGAACAGTCCTGGTCAGTTCCGTGTTGGTGCTGATTAAATACTGACAAATATGCGTGACAAATTGAGAACAATTAAATCAATTCCGAACACAGAGAGAGTTTTTTGGTGGCCAGAATACCAAGGAACCCAGAGCTCGTGAGCCAAGAACACAAACCAGAAGCTGCACAAGTTGCTGAAAGCGGCGGGGGGTGGGGGGGGGGAGCGTGCGTGTGCCCAGGAAACTGCCAAGTCACCGGCGGGTCCACCAAAGGGGTAGTTCCCCTGCAGCAGGGTTTTGGCAAAAACAAATAAACAAACCAAAAAAAAAAAAAAAAAAAACCATTCAGTAGGTGAAATCAAGCCAGGCAGGTGGAGGTGGGAGGCCTTTGACTGGGGACCTTTTGAGCCAGTTCCGGTAGGCATGGAGTCAGGATCCACGTGGGTGCCAAATGAAGCACAAGTAATAAAAACTAGAAATTGGTGTTCAACCTGAATCTGAAAAGCAAAATAGTCAGCCACTGGCTCTTACCTCGACTTCGGTCTCAAATGGCAATCCTTCCTCTAGGAATCTCAGAATGAGACTGTGTCTGATAACTGTCTCACCCCGTCTTATATTCCTCTCTAGGGCTGGGATTAAAGGCATGCACCACCCAATTTCTACATCAAGTAGTATGGCTACTGGGATTAAAGGTGTGTGTTACCATAACCTGGTCTGTAAGGCTGACCAATGGGACTGTTTTACTCTCAAGTCTTCAGGCAAGCTTTATTTATTAAAATACAATTGAAATGCCACCACACCCCCCACCTGCCCAGGTCTGTCTCGTGTATCATAGCAACAGAGTTTCTCATTGAGTTTTCTTTTACAGCTAGACATATGTACGAGTGGAGAGCTTTTAGATCATGACTTTTGTGCTAGCAGCTCTTTATCAAACAGGAAGTAAGGAGGAGATGAGAAGGAAGTGTAAGCATGTGTGTCCAGAGGGTCGGGTCATGTGACACACAGTGGCCAGACAACCTCTGCAGGGCACTGGTGAAACCACCAACTGCCTCTTGGTGGGATATTCTTGTACTTAATATTATTTGCCGTAGAAATGCTGGCAACTGGCCATGACGACATGGCTCTTGTGTTCCCACAATGGCTGCCTACTGTTCCTGTGTGACTCTTTTTTTCTTGGGGAGAGGAGGAGAGGAGACAGTCGTCAGGAGGCCATATTAACGACCGACCCTGTGGTTACTTTGCAGTCAAATAAAGTCCCGGTGGTGCAGCCGTCTCACGCCGTCCACCCTCTCACCCCCCTCATCACTTACAGCGATGAGCACTTTTCTCCAGGATCACACCCGTCACACATCCCATCTGACGTCAACTCCAAGCAAGGTAAGCGCCTCTGGCCTGCCCAGGCCCCTCTTGCCAGTCAAGCAGCCATGTCCGTGAGCCCTGGTGCCATTCCCGGTATGCAGGTGTCTTTGCCCCGTGTGAGTCAAAAATGCACTTGAAGATGTGTATAATTGGTTAGCAATTCCTCAGAAATCCGTAAAAATTTGTTGGTGCTTTAGTTTTTCACAAAAAAACACAAAAGAACCAAAAACAAACAAAAAAGAAGAAGAAGAAAAGTATAATACCATTGTGTGACAGATCTGAAAAAGCCTTTGACCCTCAATACAAGCCAGCAGGTCGTACAAACAGACTAAAGGCCCCATCCTCTGCCCTTCACTCACTGAGTTATTTACAGGGACTATTTCTCAAGCCCCACTCCCCATGCCCACTGAGGAGATGGGAGCCCCAGACTGTGGCCATGGCTCCTGAGATTGGAGAAGGAACAGCTCAGCTAGCAAAGATTTCTCTTCCCTACTTCACAAGTAGGAAAGTGATTTTATCCCAGGTCATAGAAGTCAAAACATGGTTTCTTTCTCCCTTTTCAATGAAAGGAGAAACTGCATGGATTCGTCTTGGCATATCCTTACTCACCAGCTTGTGCTCTTAGGGACAGTAGACCACTGGCATGAGTACTCCAGCAGCTATGACGTCACGGTGTGGAGTAGTGTACACAAGAGTGGACAAGGGGTCTAGGGATGGAGTCGGTGTCCTAGGCAGTGAACAAGAAGCCAAAAATCTCATCATGCACTCAGTTTAAAATGTATGAAATTACTCATTTCTGGAATTTACCATTTAGTATTTTAGACCTCAGTAAGCCAAGGAAAACTAAAACTATGGAAGAAACCATGGCTTGGGGTGGGATTGGCGACCGCACTAGAAGATGGTGGTGATTTTCTATTCTTTAATAATTAATTAGTTTTTTGCAGTCCTGGGGATCAAACTCTGGGCCTTGCACATATTAGGCAAGCACTTCTACACTGATCTATATCTCCAGCCGCTGTAGATAGTAACACACACACACACACACACACACACACACACACACACACGTTTAAATACAAAACAAATGAAGCACACAAGTTGCTGAAAGCGGCGGGGGGGGGGGGGGGCGTGCATGTGCCCAGGAAATTGCCAAGAGTTCTTTTCTGCTATTCACCACTTAGCGATCAATCTCTAGAGATCTCAGGCCCTTGGAGGTTTAAACAGAACACTTAGCTGAACACTTGCTGTTGGCCTTGGACCTGAGCAGAGCTCAAGAGTCCTCTCGTAGGCAAGGTAAGAAGGCTGGCCTGGAAACTGGGCCTGCAGCTGGGTGACAGAGCATCTGCCTAAGCTGTGAGATCCTAGCTAGGCTTTTGTTTGGGTTTTCTTCTCTATTTGTTGTTAGTGCTGGGGATGGCGCAAAACAAAGACACAAAGCCAGTATGATGTTCTCCACGTGGAGTCTGAGTATCTTTGGGAAGCTAGCGAGTGTGGCTCGCAAACTCCAGCAGGTCTGAGCTGGAATACACATGGGCAGACTGTGCCACATGGGTGCAAATAGACTGCAGATTTAGAAGTCCCAGCTATCAAAAACAATCATCTACCAAATGTATTAGTTTTATTTGTTTAATTTTATGATGAAAACCTGTTTTCTGTGTCCTGAGCCCTACCTGATCATTTTGAAATGCTCACTGCTTAAAAAAACAACACATTAGAGCCAGGTGGTGGTGATGGCGCACGCCTTTAATCCCAGCACTTGGGAGGCAGAGCCAGGTGGATCTCTGTGAGTTCAAGGCCAGCCTGGTCTACAGAACAAGTTCCGGGTTGGCTGGGGCTGTTAGACAGAGAAATTCTGTCTCGGAAAAAAAATAAAAATAAAAAAAAAATAAAAAACCAACACGTTATTTTTGAGTGGTTTTCCTCTGAAAAATTCTAGGACAGGTCAGTTTTGAGCAGCTCCCCTGTGGTTTACCTGTCTGCCCCTCTTCGCCCTCGCTTTGCACAACCCTAATCTAGTTTATCACTTCCAGGCTTGTTTAGAGAAGGGGCAGGTGGTGTGAGCATTTCTCTGCTGTCTTTGGTCTTTGTTTTCCTTTCTAAATTTTGTGATTATTATCGTGTAGTCCTTTCTAGTTGTTTCGATGTGGATATCCTGGCTTTAATTACATGTTTTTCCTGGGCTTCACGTACTTCATGTGCCTCAGGGGATATGTAAACTGGGGTTTGAAGGTGCTCATTTACATAATATTGAGTTTATATAAATCCATTTGCATCCTTTGCCCCCCAAACCTGAACTAACTCATGCTTTATTCTTTTGCTCTCCTCAGTGGGTATCACGGAGCTCAGCTAGAGACTAGAATCACTGATGTCAGAATCACTGATGTCAAGGCTCCCATAGGCTGGTCAGCTTTATCTGGGGGGTGGTGGAGGGGATAACAATACTATGTTCATACACAGTAGCCCAAAGGCAGAACTATCCAGAAACTAGAAACTGTGTTTGGAAACCATTCTCACTTATAAGTAGTAAAATCCACAGTTCTAATGTTGTAAGTTGGTCTTGTTGTCTTTGTCGGCAGGGGTGGGGGAGGGCTGGCATTTTTAACTTGAACGTCCCAGAAGACCCTGAGATCTGAGGATCTGGGGATCTTAGAATAAGGGAGCAAGGGACAAGGTGAAAAACTCGCATTAACTTCCGACCGCCCCTGCCCTTTCTGAGGAACAAGACAAACATCCTAGGGAACAAAGTTGGGGAGCCACTGGGGTGGGATCAAATGAAATTAGTATGTCCAGCAAAACCGGGGGGGGGGGGGGGGGGATTAAAGGAGATTTAAAGTGATTCTGAAAATAGCAAAATGTACATTGAACCTGCGGTAGGAGCCCTATTGGGTGTGACATGAAGACCCTTCTCCTCTCTGCTGTTTGGGAAGGAACCGGGAGGTGGTTTGTCTTAAATACACAAGTAATAGCAGCACTGAAGGTAGCACCTAAGTCATTCTCTCACGTTCAGGTCCTTTGGTATCTTAAAATCCACATGATGCCATGGGCGTGTTGAGCAGCAAATTCTCACGCTATTTCAAGAGCTCCTTTGGTGTGCTCATCTATTTCCATACATTAACCAATGTGTTCACATCACTAGGGGAAATGACCCTTTGAACCTGTGGGCATCTACATGTCGTAAGTTACCTAGGGTTTGTCAGAAACACATCTCCCACTACATTAAATTCCATGTTTTACGCATTGTGTGTTCGCCTTGTGGGTTTTGTTTACCCCTCTACCTAAGGGAAAGTCTAAACGGGGATGTCAGCTGGGACTCAGCTCCCGGGAGAGCCCGAGCACGAGAGACAGTTTGGTGGCGTTCTCCTTTGCTGGAGACGAGCTCACCCAGAGCAGTGTGACCTTGGAGCCCGGAGGACTGAGCCGCTGAGGCGCTTACAGGCAGCTGCGGTGGCAGCAGAGAACAAACGAGTCATTATCAAGGGTGGCCGCTACGAGGCTGAAGAGGATTCCTAATTAATCTTTGATTCTCTGAGGTATCGCCTTTCCCGAATCTGTGTGTCCACAAGGGGACCAATGGAAATGGCAATTTACCTAATCTTCGAGCCCCGTGGCAGGCCGTCTTCATAGGAAGGGCTGTCATTTTCCATTCTACACAGAAACCCCGGGCTACCATTTTCTTCCGGCGAAATAATGAGAGCAGAACAGATCGTCAAAAGACTGCTCAGATGGCTGTTTCCCTGGCAGTGTATGCATCCCTGCCCGGATGTCTTCAGCTCCAGCCGTCTGTCTGAAGACCCTGATTCCCCGGGTGTTGAAATCTTAAGAAAGGCTCACCAGCTCTGATGGGCAGTGTCTATACCAGAATTACTAAATGGCAGGAAGCATTTTGCTGCTTTTCTCTGGCTCTTCCGCATGATTGTCCCCGGAGTGTAAACACCATGCCGTTCTTTTCCTTTTAACAGGCATGTCCAGACACCCTCCGGCTCCTGAAATCCCCACCTTTTACCCCCTGTCGCCGGGTGCTGTCGGGCAGATCACCCCACCCCTCGGCTGGTAAGAGCATTCCTGCAACCTTGGGCTGAGTGTTTGGGCACGCGTCCTCCCTCTTTCCACTCGTGGAAATTAGCTCTGTGCATGGCTGCACTTGTGGAACGGAGGAGATTTTACACCAACAAGCAAGGTGCTAACTTTATTTCATTTCAATTTGGAAGATTAAAAAAAAAAAAAACAGAGAGACTTTGAAATGGATTGAATCCGTCCCCTAATTTGTGCAGAAAATGACTGCATAGCATTTGCTTTGAAGCTTATAGTTTTATGGATTCAATGTGTGGCTTTGGGCATTTGCTATGCCATATGAAGCTGAGGCTCGGTGGCTTTTCTCGTCCAGTTTCTCTTTAACAACTCATAGTTTTGAAACGTGGACTTAGACTCGTTAGATGTCTACTTTTGCTTCCAGGTGAGCAAGTGAGGCAAATGACACAGAACTAAAGAGAAATTAACAGGACACTAGCATCTTTTGAGTGTTAGTAAGCACCCAAGCTCACATGAGGGGAACAAGAAAGGATTTAGGAGCGTTGGCTTCCTTCAGACTTCAAACACCAATGTTTTCCGTTGTGGTGGTTATTTCCAGAAACATTCCAAATGCTGCTGCCCCGTCCTCCCCCCCCCTTTTTTAATTATGAAGATATAAGAAATAAATGATGAGAAGAATAATTTTTGCAGTGTGGCTGATCTCACAGAACTTTCTCCTCCAGCTCAGTGCCTGTCCCTCTCTCCCTCCTCAATTCTCCCTCGTTGAAATGGTGCCGCAGCTAAGCAGACGCCTCTCCCTGTTCCCTGGACAGCCTGCTCTCCCCACAACCCCCATGTCAAGGCCACATCTGCACACCCAGACATTCGGACATCTTCTCCAGCAAGGCCAGGGCTCCACTCCATCTCCCTTTAGCTTTAAGTCCCTCAGTCCATGAGTTTAATTGGCCGTACATATACGTCCAGCCTTAGCTCAGTTTTTCTGCTTGAACTCAGTCACTCAGGAGCAATATGCCCATGCCATCCTGGCAGATGGAAATAAAGACTGGAAAAGAGAAGTGGGACTTGAGAGAAGAGAGGGGAAGAGGACCTCTTAGCGGGGAGGAAAGCAGTTGCACTGACCCAGTCTTTGATTTCCTCACCCCAAAAGGTGTATATAACATGGGGGGCAGTGTCTCTGAAATGTTTATTTATTTTTATGTAAATAGAGCGGTTGGTGCACTATCTGTCTCTCAGTTCTGAAAGGTTTGGATAAAGAGTTGGCTAAGCTGCTTCTCTGAAGGCACAGTTTACTATTCTGTGGGCCGCATTATATTCAGTAAGCATCTTTAAGCCCCACTTTAAGCATTAAAGGTGTTGGGTGAGGGACAGGGATCAAAGAGCCATCGATGGGCTAACTCGTGCTCAGGTCTGAGGGAGGGAGGGTTTTCTTCAAGGCACACCATGCTTTGATGGGTGAAGCGTGGGAGGGTGAGGAAGGAAGACAGCCCCATGTAAAAATGTTGGGGGCCGCCGCCTTCTGGTGCCCCCCCTCTCTCCTGTCACCAAACTCTTAGTGCTGGTTGGTAACTCGTGTTGTGTCATTGATGGGTTCCTCTCTTCTGTGACCTCAGGCAAGGTCAGCCTGTATATCCCATCACGGGTGGATTCAGGCAACCCTACCCATCCTCACTGTCAGGCGACACTTCCATGTCCAGGTAGGTGGAGGTGGACTGGCCAGGTTGCTCCTCTGCTCGCATCGCGCGCACCCCGCCCCGCTTGCCTCTGGGCTGGCCGGCTAGGAGCGCCTAACCCAGCCCCGCGTGTGTCTGCGCAGTGTGCCTGGCTCCCACACTAGGTGTCACGGTGACTCCGAGGCACTAGCCACGCTAGAAAACATTGTGGCTCCAGAACTCACTGCCACCTGCCTGCCTGTGGGATGATGGCTATCCCCAAAGTGGAGGTTAGAAGAGGCTGTTTGATTTGGATCATGCCGGGGGCAGGTGGGCTGAGGGAAGATTGGTGACCAAAGAGCCTGAACTCCACAGCCACATCCTTTGTGGAAACTTAAACCGGATTAATGCGGCAGTCCCTGAGAAGGCCCAACAGCCCCGGTCCCTTCAACGGGCCCTTGGCTCTTGTGGGGGAGCGAGGACAGTACACACAAACTGCCTGGCTGTGGTGGCTGGACATACATCCTAGTGTGTGGAACAGGCCCTGTGTGGACATGTTTCTGCAAGGGAAGCCCTCTGGGGCTGCTCTGTGTGGTGCTTCGCTTCTGGAAGGGATGCTCCTGTGCCCTGTGCTTGACGTCCTCGGTGTCCACACAGCTTCGTGCTGTGTCATCTCTGTGTCCCATCTGGCTTTCTCGAGGAAGCTGGTGTCACTGCGCTGGGAGTCAAATGCTCAGCTCTTAATTGGTTGTGAATCTGTCTTCTTCTTCTTTTTTTTTTTTCCCAGTGTGAGTTTGATGTTTATGGTTTGTGTGGTAAATTTCAGTTTCAAAATATATGTATTCTTCCGTCAGTGAAGTATAAATCGAGATGCTAGGTTGGTTAACAGTCTGCAGTTTTAGTTTTTAACACTGAGAGCTGAAGATGAAGATTTCCTCACAGGACGGAACCAGCATCAAGGATCGCGTGTCTTTACACTTAGCAGGGCATCATTACTTGGTCACATATTTGTAATTTTGTCTCCTTAGCAATTAAGGAGTTTGTTTTTGGAATACTGGACACCCCAGTGGACATCCTTTTCTCCTTTCCCAATGAAAGGTTGATTGTACAGGCTTTGGTGAAGCCAAAGAATATTTTTCTTGTGAAATTTAGCTTTTTACTCAAAGCTGATAAGAAAGAAAAGAAGTTCTACGGCATATCCAAACTTACCCAGTGTTTGCTGAGGTATGTCAGCACACATCTGGAATATTACTTTTTGTTCTAACTGGGAAGGTTCCCTCCTTTGCGATGGCTGGTGGTAGACAGGTTAACGTTTTGAATGCTACATATACTTGCCCAAGAGAAAGGTATTAGCAGGTGGCGATTCTGCCTGGGTACAGAATCATGGACCTTCCTGTAACTTAGCCCTTGCCCTTAACACCAGAACCAGTTCTTCCTAAGGTCCTGCCCCCCCAAGACCTTACCTCTGTATAGAAGGTCATTTTGGAAGATGCTAATAAAACCCTTATAAATGAGGGCCTGAGAGGGCTCTTCCTGTCCCATCCCTCAGTTGTTACCTCCTGACGTTAACAAACACTCTTCCTGTGTAATGTTGAAATGTGACGTCTTTGGTTGAATCTTAATAAAGTGTCGTGTCCCCAGTAATTTCTCTTATTGAATTTTTTTTTTTTTGTTGGGAAATTGCCTTGCAAGAAAACAGATTCAGCTTCCCCTTATCTTGTGCCTGTCACCCTCCTGAGGAAGAATGCCAGCTTGAAAAACTCCAGGGAATAATTACATTTTCCAGCTGAATTCAGGGAAAAATACAGTCTGTAGTTAATACTCAGGTGTCCACACATACGTCTTCCCTCATAGTCAGTGGCAGTTAGTAAGTGGTCTTCTAATTCTGCCTAGGTTTGTTCATAACAGCCGGCAGTGCATACTGTTTTCCTCTCTATATATAGGTTTTCCCATCATATGATTCCTGGTCCTCCTGGTCCCCACACAACTGGCATCCCTCATCCAGCTATTGTAACGCCTCAGGTCAAGCAGGAGCACCCCCACACCGACAGCGACCTAATGCACGTGTAAGTAGACACCCCCCCAACTCATGTTTCTGAGCCTCCTCTACCGCTGTGAAATTCCATGTAGCTCAGCCTGGAAGGCTCTGTTGGAGAACATTGAGTCTGAGATGGCAAAGGACCACGGGATTCACAGTTCACAGACACTCGCAAGGATGGTGCAGTGTTCTGGGTGAAGTCGTGCAGGATCGTAAGCTGTAGGCCACTTAGCACAGCAGACTTTCCTTTCGTGAAGTGAGACAGAGGGCAGGCTTAGTGCTCACCACTCAAGAACACATGCTCATCAGCATCAAATTCCCTGTTGGGCCCACGTTGTCTCACACTTTCAGAGCCAGGCTACTTAACTTGTCTCGGAGGAGTAAGAAATGATGCCTCTGGTCTGTGGGTGAGAAGGGCAGGGCAAGCAATGTGTGGCAGCCCATAAAGATCCTGAAAATACATTCAAAGGAAAGATATATTTGTTTGGTGAGAAGGGTTCAAATCTCCCTAGGCTTAGGAAGCCAGGTCAGTTCTAAAGAGCTTGTCTTGCATGAATGAGGACCCGTGTGATCCCTCCGAGCAATGTGAAAAAGGCAGGTGTGGGGACACATGCCTGTAATCCCAGCACCGGGAAGGCAGAGACAAGAGGAACCCTGGGGCTGAGTGTGGGTGGCTCCAGGCCAGTGAAAGACCTTTTCTAACCAAGCAACCAAGATGGGTGTCAACTGAGGATCAGCACACAACACACACACACACACACACACACACACACACACACACACGTGCCTGGGGCAGGGTGAGGCAGGGAAAACTTGCTTTTCAAAGTGTCATTTAATCCCCCGTCCCCCAAAGTGAACATTCATTACAGCAGAAGAGTAATGATGCACCCGTAGTTTGTGTCCAGCTTCTTTGGAGGTGACAAAGAGCCTCAGCTCTGGGGCCCTCGATGGCACTTTCTCAGACTGAAGGAGCCCTACTCAGTGCCACTGTGTAAATGAAGGAATCCTGTGATTTGGTTGCTTGCAACTTGGGTTTTCATCAGACGAGCCACATGTGGTCCTTCCGTGCTGATGGTGTTCCAGGGGCTAGCCTAGAGCTGGGAGGGGGTCATCTTCCCACCGAACTTGGCTATGTGAACAGATGTTTTCTCCTGTCTCTTCCCAACTCCTCCTGCCCCCTTCCCTAACCACCGCCACCTTTCAGGAAGCCTCAGCATGAACAGAGAAAGGAGCAGGAGCCCAAAAGACCTCACATTAAGAAACCTCTGAACGCTTTCATGTTATACATGAAAGAAATGAGAGCAAACGTCGTAGCCGAGTGCACGCTAAAGGAGAGCGCGGCTATCAACCAGATCCTGGGCAGAAGGGTGAGTCGCGGGGTGCGGGGGATGTTTATGGCCACCATAGCATGGCCTCCTTAGAATGGGCTGAGATTCGGTTACCCGCCACAAGATATGTGTGTGCATGTGCACTGTGTTTCTGGGAAGCAGGGTATGAGGTACAGTAACGTGGTGTGGTATAACCAAGTCTGACTGTACCTGGAACATGGGAAACTTCCCAGAACTGACAACTGCTTTTTCAACTCTTCTTTAAACAGTATTTACCAGGTGCCTGCATTTGACTGGAATGATGCTTGCTAACAGTCGCTGAACCAAACAGCCACAGCCCTTGCCTTCTTGGAACAAGGTGTTTTGTAACCAGATAAAGATAGTCCCCCCGCAAAAAAAAAAAAAAAAATTAATGAAACTAAATTTATAGTGAATACTGTGGATGTAATTAGCAACATTATATAAGAGAACAGCAGGGACCAGCAACGGTCCTCCTGAGGGCACGGCGCTTCCAGTGAGACCTGAGGGACATAGCCTTTAGGGGTGAGCTTCCCTAGTGGGAGCAGTGCTCGGAGAGGGGTAAGGGTTGCCAGCCGGGTCTCTAAACCCACAGAAGGGGCCGCAGTAGGGCTTCTGGGAGAGCAGCCCAGAGGTGGGAGGAAGCCGTGCCTTCTGCACAGAGGCAGAGCTGCTGAGATGCTAAGGCCATAGGGCCAGGAGAAGTCAGTCGTGTTCCTAGAGATGCGGTCTATGGCTAAAGCCCACATGGGCTGTGTTTCTGGGCCGCCTTTCTCCCTTGCCTCACTCCCTTAGTCCATGCTGTTCTGTTTTCTTAGCCCTTGGCGTAGACGGGGGTCCTAGACTATAGCCAAGTGATGGGAACTCTTCAAATTCCTTCAACAGCTGTTCAGAAGACTAGCCATTCCTTCCAAGTGCTTTCCCGCAGGATGGAGAAGGTCTTGTCTTGATAGTAAACAGTAGGGCAAATCAAACTCACCCAATTCAAAAGTTACATTTTCACTAACACTGCGTTACTGTTTATTAGGATCGCTTCATTTTTATGCACCAGGGCTCACCATGCGTGTGCGGCAGCCTTTTAGTTTATGTCTCTTGTATATGTGTTTTAGTGTTTTTTTTTTTTTTTTTTTTTTAAGTTCAGGCAAGGTGATGGAGACTCTAACCACACCTGGGAAGCATAGAGATGGTTGGCTGTTAGCTGCCATTGATGGCACTCCCTTACCACGCTCCCAACTCTGTCCATTGGACATTCCTAAAGACATTCAGGAGGCCGGCAGCCAACACAGAATACAGAAGCAGGCCTTGAGTTACAGAGTCCCACTGGAGAGCCTCAAGCCATTGCCAGCTCCAATCTGTGAGACCCAGAGCTCTGGAGGCTGGGCACCACAACAGATTATAGTCTTTGGTGTTCCGAGTGCAGTGTCCTATCTCTCTATGGACTCTTAAACACTTAATAACAATAATTACGGTGATTCCCAAGCCAGATCTCAGCAGAGGAGTGATTCCATCTGCTTCGAAGGGCTCCACCTTAAGAGTCGAAAGCCCAGTAACCACTTTCTTCAAGCTTCTAAACAAGGAAGCAGAGGCAAAGAAGGGCTGGCGTTTTTCATTGCAGCTCACATACCTCTCTTAGCTCTTTTCCTTTTCTCGTCTTTGAGTCACATGCCCCCTGGCCCTGCAGCAGGAATTATTTTCCCGCTCAAGAGGGTGAGGATATGATCTTTGAGGTATGCTTCCTCTTTTTAATGCGCGTTTGCAACCATTGCTACTTTCTCAGCTCCCTGAACGGTCCCCAGACCCAAGCCTGTGCGTCTTAAGGATGGTTCTCATTTGGGGTCTCTCTCTGTCTTTGATTTGGACACCTGTTTCTATTTATAGGCCTCTGGCTCTTTGATTAAGATCAGGTTTTCTGCCCTTTGAGCACTCCCTCTGGCGGGGCCGCACTTGCCGCCTCTTTAAAGTTCTGGCTTTTAAAATCCTGAAGTCCTACACTAGCCTGATTGTAGTGCTTGAAAGTGGATCTTAAATCCATCCTGGAACATTTTATCTTGGGATTTTTTTTTTAAATTGTCTTTACTGTTTCTAAGACAGAAATGCCCATTCATATGAATGAATCAAAGTTTTCTTAATCTATATCATAAATAGCAATGGTCCAAATCTTATTTAAAATAAATGGACTTGCCCAGCTGTTGCTCCAAGTCTGTTCACTCCAGATTTACAGCAACTTGACTATTGGAATGTCTTAGCAGTTTCTTTAGTTAAACAAATGTGTCCCCCGGTGACTTGGCAATGTTTGGAGAATAAATTTGATTTTTAAAAAAATACATGTTTTTCCAGTAATATTAATTAGAGTTAGAAAAATTTTTTTTAGTCATGTTTCAGAAACCCCTGAAGCCGGGCGGTGGTGGCGCACGCCTTTAATCCCAGCACTCGGGAGGCAGAGGCGGGCGGATCTCTGTGAGTTCGAGGCCAGCCTGGTCTACAAGAGCTAGTTCCAGGACAGGCTCCAAAACCACAGAGAAACCCTGTCTCGGGAAACCAAAAAAAAAAAAAAAAAAAAAAAAAAAAAAAAAAAAAAAAAAAAAAAAAAAAAAAAAAAAAAAAAAAAAAAAAAAAAAAAAAAAACCAACCCTGAAAGGAAAACTATTTATCTAGTTCTTACATTTTTTTCTTAAATGCAAAATTTCGGTACTGTTGTGGAACCTACTGCCCTCGAGTCTGCAAAATGACCTTTAACTCTTGATCACGTGTGCATGCCCTATGCTAGGAATTATCAGGGATATCCAATCACAGGAGCACTACCAGCCCACATCTTCTCTTACCATTTTCCCCGAACAACAAGTCCTGGCAGAAGATCCAACTTTGGTTTGCCTCTGGGAGGGGTGTTAATTTTAATTTACCATTCTAGATTTTTCTCAGGTTGCAAAGTTCTTAGTTATGCCAATATCCTCCTGTCTTAAAATGTGACGTAGAACACAGGGCGTGTCAGACGAGTTAGGGGACAGATTTAAAAGTGGCAGGCTTCTTGTCTTTTGACCGTTTTTTCTCTTCACCCAACTTGGTGACATTTCTGCCTTTTGCAGTCACATTCATTCATCGTGAGAGGTAGTCAATATCAGCGGTCAGTGTTTCGTTATGCATGCATACATACGCATATATACATGTATGTAGATACACGTGCATGTAGTGTCCAGCTTGATCAGGCTTCCTAGAATAGGCTGCATCACTGGCTTTCTGGACAGAATAGCCTTGGGTGTCCATACATGCTTTCTCCTTGTCCCATTTTACTGATTCTGCTGGCACAGAGAACTATGGTCCATGTAACTGCTTTTGTTAAGAGTTTTCTGCCACCTTCCCCTACTTGTTGCTATTATTGTTTTGTAACCAAAGTATATTACTACCGGGCGGTGGCGACGCATGCCTTTAATCCCTTCACTTGGGAGGCAGAGGCAGGAGGATCTCTGTGAGTTTGAGGCCAGCCTGGTCTACAAGCACTGGTTCGAGGACAGCTAGGGCTGTTACACTGAGAAATCCTATCTTGAAAAACCAAAAATAGATAGATAGATAGATAGATAGATAGATAGATAGATAGATAGATAGATAATATTACTATGGGCCAGCGAACTGGCTTAGCAGGTAGAGGTGTTTGGCACCAAGGCTGATGACCTCACTTCGATCCCTGGGGCCTACATGATGGAGGAAGAGAATCAATTCACATAAATTTTGTTTAAGTTGCTACATGTGTGCTGTGATGCGTATGCCTGCACATACATACATACACACGCGCACACACATGTACACTAATAAATAAAGGTGTGTTTTAAAGGGTGGCACCTGATGTGCCTTTATGTGCACACCAAGTCACCTGTGTGCCATGCTTTTCAACTTTACATTCTGCGCTTCTAATACAATTTTAAAAATTAAAATAAAACCATCTGCCCGATCCACCACAGAGGGCTGGCTTTAAAGGGGATTTCAAAAGGCATGGAAGTGGCTGTCTGGCCTGTGGCCTCGGCTGTGGCTGTCCTGCTGGCACAGCGAGAAGGTGCCAGGAGCCCTGTGAGATGGCTCCCTTGTTCTCTTGTCAGAGTAGAGCAGCAGGCATTCCTGCTTCTGAGGGAACAAGTGCTGAGCCAAACCTTCAAGTCCAAGGCCATGCTGGCGAGAGCTTATTCTCTCGTGAGCGTCTCTCCTGCTTTCTCTTTCCCTTCCCCTTCCCAACCAACCATGCCTTCCTTTTACTTTTTTTTTTCATCTTTTTAAGTCATTAAAAAAAAAAAAAAAAAAAGAGCCCAAAAGAAACCAGAAACCAAGGTAAGGGAATTAGAATCCAAGTGCGAGACTGCCTGGTCCAGAATGGGAGGAGACAGAGACTCCCAGCTGCCTCGGTGACATTTTTGGGGGGGGGGACCCTTCCTCCTCACAGTTAGTGGGTACCCCACTTCTCTGTGTCAGATGTTTCTGGCAGATCCTGGCACTGGAGAAGTGAGGAAGTTGCTAGAGACCTGTCTGCTGGGGACCCAGAGAAGTGGGCCACAATCGCTTGTCAGGAAGTGTGCATGTGAAGTCCTCAAAATCGCAAATGGACACCTTGCCTTCAGAAGGGCAATCTTGTCACTTGTTAGTTACATTGAGAGGGGGAGGCAGAGGGGGATGATGCTCCAAAGCCACTGTGCCTTCTGTATCAGAGCCCCGGGCTCGTAGATGACAAAGTTTCGACATGGCTTCTTGCTTTCCCACTGTCCGGAAGCTAGCCCCAGTCAGAAGTGTGCTGTGCAGTGGGTGTAAGTGTGAGGTGACCGAGACGAGCCGACTTCTAATGTCTTGACGGATGCTATCACGTGACTCAGGTTCCAGACTGTAGAAGACAGAGTTGGGAAGCGGGGGGCGTGCTTGTCCTAAAGGCATCTGGAAATTATCACATTTTGCATAAATAAGTGCTGCTTGGGTTCAGTCGCCAGTGTAAGCTGCAGACGAAGAAAGAAGGGCAAAGCTGGGTATCCGGGTTCACGCACGAGAGTATTGGCATAAAGAACGGGTGGGCGACAGATCTTACATTCTGAATGCTTTGATGTGATAGAGAACCACAGGGCAGAGAAACCAAAGTGTGAGGTTTTCTCCATCCCCCAGACTCCAAGGAGGGTTTCTCTAGTACCAGCGCTGCTCCCCTTTAGAAGTGAGCCGGAGTTTAAATGCGTACATTAACTTCATGGGTCGGAGTTTGAAACTTGAGCTGGACTGTTGCTGCCTCACTGACCTTCTCTCTCTTCCCCTTTCCTTTTTGCTTTTAGTGGCACGCCCTCTCCCGGGAAGAGCAGGCCAAATATTATGAATTAGCACGGAAAGAAAGACAGCTACATATGCAGCTTTATCCAGGCTGGTCAGCAAGAGACAATTATGTAAGCCCTTTGTCTATCCCTGTGGCTTTCCACCCCCGCCCCCACCCTGCTTTGCCCCCCCCCCCCTCTCTCTCTCAAGGGGGATGTCTGGAGGATGCACGGTGTTGGCACTGTTTCTTGTTTTGGGAAATTAACAAACTGTGTAATAAAGATTTCATGAGTACGTTGGGTTCTGACAACTTTAAGCTTTTGTTTTGTTGCTGTGAGTACTAATTTATTTGTTAAATAAAGCTCTTTTAAAGATCAAAACATAAAACCCCTTATTATTAAAATACCAGGAAAAGATGTAAAACAAACAAAAGCCCTATAATTTCACCACGTAAAGGCAAGATTAGTGCTAACTATATTTCCTTCTTGTATGTTTTCTGTGCGTCTTTAGTTTCGCATATAGATGAGATATGTGTGTATGTACATATATTTTATGACGTTTCCTGTTCTTAAAAATGCATTTTTCTTTTATGAAAATCAAGTTTATGTCGATATTTCGTTAAGTGAATGTCTGTTTCCTGTTTTTTCCTGATTATAGATACACCCCCCCTCCCCCCCCCGTTCAGAGTGATATAACCCCCTGATGTGGATATGTCTGTGCACAGTGGAGTGTTTTTTCCTATGTACAGGACCATTATTTCTGCAGCTAGATTCATAGTAGCAGGGTTTTGAGAAAGAGGATATAAACATTTTTGTTTGTCTGTGTTTTGATTTTTGTTTTTCGATACAGGGTTTCTCTGTGTAACAGAACTAGATGTCCTGGAACTAGCTCTGTAGATCAGGCTGGCCTTGAACTCACAGAGATCTGCCTGCCTCTGCCCCTCGAATGCTGGGATTAAAGGTGCGAGCCACCACCACCTGGCTGGATATATTTTCAGTTCTTGACACATGGTGTCGGATTTCCTTCCAGATGGTGATTGTCTTATAAATCTTACACCATGTTTTGATGACTGTTTTTACACAGAACTAGAACTATGTGGTTATTTGAATCTTGTATTATTGTGCCCTGATATCTTCTATGTCCTTTGAATAAAGACAGAGTAGGGATGATCATGCTCTAGGTTTTTTTATTATATCGAAATTATGCCAAAATCTATAATTTTATTGTTAAGAACTATCTTGCTTATACTGCAAGCTCTCTTACTGTTATAGTCTGAACATCTTCTTGACACTGTCTTGTCCTAGTAAAGACTATTACTATTTATATTATTATAGAAATAGAAATGATTATTATAGAAAGTATATTATGAATGATATAGTTGAAATTTTGTCATTTTATATAAAGTTAACAATTTTGACGGTTTAGATGCTTAAAAATAATAGAATATTTTGAAAATCATTTTTAGCTCAGCTCAGACAGCTACAATAGAATACCATAGCCTAGGTGGCTTATAAAAGCAAAATTTTATTGCCCACTGTTCTAGAGGCTGAAATATCTGAGACCAAGGGCAGCAATAGGTTGGGTGCCCAAGGGCTACTCCCAAGCCCTTGGCTGTGTTCTCACAGGCTGCCCTTTCCCCAAGGACTAGTCTCATTCACAGTGGCTGTGCCCCGATCAGCGCCTCCAAAGGCTCCACCTTATTCTACCACATTCTGGGGTGTCAGGAGGTGTTAAGATTTGTATGGGAGTTTGAGGGGACACCTTAGTCTATAACAGGAGACCAGCAACAAGAATGCCCTTCAGGACAGTCTTCACGTAGAGGAATTGTCTCTTCAACCACACATGTGAAGTCATGAAGCAGTGTACAGTGTAATGATGGCCTTTGCTGTAGAAGCTCCAGTTGCCATAGAGACACTGACCACATTGCCCCCCCCCCCACTGTAATATGCTCCACTGACACACCACTTTACTGTTTAGAATTTGGGGCATTATACATCACACATAACTCTGACACGGGAAATAAGTGTCCTGTGGGCAACTACTTGGAAGCCAGGACACAGTCATCCCCCACGTTGTCATTTTGGTTGTTTTCATAGCTGCCGTCTGCTGATGGTAGGGAATGCCTTGCCTTTCTTCCGTTACTCTCCATCCTTACTGTCCAGTGGCATCAGCACCATTACCCTACTTCTCAGGGCTGCTGAGGTCAGAGAGGTCAAGCAGTTTGTCCACAGCGGTGGAGTAGACAGCGGCATTGCAATTCAAACCCACATCAGCTCGACATGAGGATCTGCATAGTTTCACACACACACACACACACACACACACACACACACACACAACCAGCACGTCTATGGCTTCTGTGCCCTGAGCTGTAATTAGCACCTGCACAGACGGAGCCTTTGTTGCACCCTGTAAGGGGGATCAGTCCCTTCAAAGGGGCACACAGAGTGTCCTCTTCTCACCCTGTCCTGCCTGTCCTTTGGCTGTGGCTTGCCTAGGAAGGGACCACCGACCCCCTAGAAGAGCTTTGCCGAGCTGGAAGTTTGCATGTGCTTAGCATTGCTTGCTGAAAGTCTCGAAAACTTTGGTTCTGATCTTCAAGTGTTACGTTTTAGCATTTAGAAAGATGGAAAAGACATACGCACGCGTCCTTCTCCTCCTCCCTCTTATTGTTTCCTTTGCTCCCCCTTCACATGCAAAGAGTAGTTTTGAAGAAAGCTGGTGGATGGTGAGTTTATCTTTCAAGATTTTACCCTCCATGGTGGTTAGCAGGAATTGTTTTCATGGGCCTCTCTTGAATGAAGGGAAGACCCAGCTTCGTTCATACTTTTTTTTTTTAACAATCCCGTTGATGGCTACGGCAAAGCAGAGTTGTGAGAGCCCTCGCCAACCATTCCCAGCAGGAGTTTAACATCAGGCGCAGGCTGGACAGTGAGGATGCTTCCTGCTCCCCTGAGACCAGTAAACATACATCTGGGTTTAGCACTGAGATGGCCCTCTCGGTGGCATCATTGATCTTTACAATTGGAGTTTACTTCTGTAATTTGGACAAACAAATGAAGTTTTTGTGAAGTCAACAGCACATAGATTTTTTTGAGTGAGGTTATCCTGCCTCCCAGGCTCACACAGTTTGTAATTTTGACAAAAGGTATTTTACTGTGCATGACTAGTCAATTAGTATATCCAGACTGGTCCCTCTTTGCCTCACTGATTTGTACCTAAACTAGCACACGGGCGGTTGCAGCAGTGATGCTCTGAGCCTTATACACTGGCTGGCTGCAGGGTGCAGGGTTGGGGAGAGGCTCAGGTCAGAGTCTCCTGGCACAGCTTGTGAATAGATGGGCGTGGCCCTGAGCTCAGGGTCTTGGAGAATTTGCTCCCCAGAAGAGCCCCAGCTCTGTCTAAGGAAGAGCAATGAGGCATGGGACAGAGAAAGTTCTTGAAAGAGATGACACTTGAGACCCATGCAGACGGGAGCAAGAGAGGAAAGTGCAGAGTAGCAAAGAAGGAAAGTACATGCATGTATTCTTTTATAGAGTCACAAGACAGATTCAGTAGACTCTGGTCGGCTCCGTTTATTGATGTTGCTCATTGCTGCCATCACTCCAGGGGTGCTGGCTGTGATGACTGTTCATTAGTTGACATACCTGCCGCAGGTTTACCCCCTTATGGTTCACGTCAGTGGAACGCGGCTGGAGCCCATTACGTGTGAGTAGTTTTGAAGAGATGAGAATTTACGCTACTTAAAATGTGACCAGATTTTTTTCATTTGCTCTTGATGTGTTGAAATGTTTCGGTATCACGTCTGTCTGAAGAAGCAGAGGCCTCGGCTTCCCAGGCTCCACCGCCTCCTCTGCCTTTGACCCTCGTTATGCCATGCCCCTGCCTCGTTTGACGCTTTGGATGTAAACTGTGGTGTAGTACATTTCACAGCAAGCACAGATTCGACATGGGCACTCCCCACACGACAGTACAGCGAGGTGTTGTCTGAGCGAGTTGGTCAGTAAGAGGGGTAGCCAAGGAGCTGCAGGAGTCGCGCACGCCGCACGCACGCACGCACGCACGCACACGCCGCGCGGAAAGTCAGTCACTCTACGTCTTGCCGGCTGGGGGCCTTCTGTCCCTGCTTCTCATACAGTGCGCACCGGCATGCCTGCCCTCCGCTCTCTGTCTTGACACTGTGCCTCTGTCCTCCAGGGCAAGAAGAAGAAGAGGAAGAGAGAGAAGCTACAGGAATCCACTTCAGGTAGGTACCGCGTGGCTCTGTGTTGGCGCTGCTGCTCCTGCCCGTCTCCTTTGTCAGCAGTCCACGTCTTCCTAGGCGCTGCCTCCTTCTGTGACTGTCACGTGTGACCCCCTCACTCCTGGAATTCCTTAACATCTCCAAAAGACTTTTCTTTTAAACATGAAAGTGTCTGTGGAAAAAAAAAAAAAAAGTCATAGGAGCCGCGGTTAATTCCCCGCCCCTCACCTTCTGTTGTCTGTGTCCTCTCTGCTTCTGCCTCTACTCTTTTGCACAGTCGAAAGGTGTCACTTTTATGGTGACAGTACAACATGCTACCCTGTATTCCCTTGAGAGTCTTTCACGCGTTTTGAGGTTCTTAATGCTAAACAGCACAATGGCGGGGCTTGCACTGATTGCCGGAGTCAGCGAGGGCCCACGTTAGTTCCTTCTTCTGTTAGAAGGCCCGCCACATGCGATGCACAGACAGAAATGGTTGTTCTATGATGAGAACCAAAAAAAAAAAAAAAAAAAAGCAAAGCAAGCAGGTAGCTACTACTACATGTTTGGAATGTGCAGAAAACCTCTCCATAAAAAAAATTGTTAAAGACACAATTTTCTGCAGGTACAGGTCCCAGAATGACAGCTGCCTACATCTGAAACATGGTAAGATCAACTCTCTGGCCCTGCTTCTGATTTAGTGCTAACAAGAGACTCTTGCTTGTGGATCTCCCCCGCTCTTGCCAGTTCCCATCAGCATTGTTCCTGAGAGAGGAAACCGGCACAGGCTCGTTCTGTTGACGCTCCCCCGGTTTTTATCCCCGCTGTGTGTTTGCAAAACAGTGTTGCGCTTTGACCTCTACTACGCCTCCTGTTCCGCTCACTTCTCTAGTCTCTTGCCTCACTGTTTCCTCCTCAGCCATTTCTTACTGACCAGTGGAAAATCTGTCTTTAAAAGGAAAAAAACAGGGAGCCGCATGTCACCCTCGTTAGCCAGCAGGGATGGGTCTGAGCAATGTCACTGTAGCCCAGTCAGCCCCGCTACATGGTAGCGACTCAGTTGGAATGATATGTGGATGTTTTGTTTGTAGTGCGAAAACTTGATGTGATTGTTTTTTTTCTATTTTAAAATATCAGATGGGCACTTAAGTGATTGATTGATTTCTTCTTTTGAGTTTTTCTTTGTTGGTAACCACTGTTAGACAGCATCCTCGGATTTGTAAGTTAACCTAGATTCCCTTATTTTCATGAGAAGTCTTTAGTGTATAGCCACATGACCCAGGGAAGCTGGCTTTGTAAGTGAAGGCTGGGTCTTGGGTTGGAATAGACAGGTGTAACCGTTCTGCACAACAGCGGCCTTTGTTTCTGCGGTGTTTTTTCTCCGGAACCTGTGCTTTCTCCAGTCACCGGTCCTATTGGACTCCCTTCAAGTCCTCTTTGCCGCCTTGCCTTCCAAGACTGCCCAGCCCCGTTCCTTATGCTACTGCTATTATCGTAGAGTCTGGGGAAGTGTTGTGGCCATAGACTTCCCGTCCACGGGTCATCTGTAATGCTCTCAGGGAGTTTCTGAGACACAAAGGGATGACGCCACCTCTCTTATTGCCTCAAGGCTGCAGTCCCGTCACCTGGTGGATATCTGCCATGGCTGTCCTTGTGCCTCGGGTCATTTGCTCACAGTTTCTCCTCGCTTCCCAACTGGCCCTCATGAGACCTGCGCTCTATCCACACAAGTTTAGCAGTTCTCCAGGGAGATGGAGGGCACAGCCTGTGCTGTCTCTGCTCTTGGCAGGCCTGCTCACTCTGCTTAGGAATAGACCAGTCTGAGCAGCAGGCCTTGGAGGAGCCCTGACCTGCGGTGTGGATGCGCCTGATGAGCTAGGTGACCTCATCCACGCTTCAAAATTTACTTTGGGTCCTGAACGTTCATAGGATTTTCCCTATGGAAATCTCCCCGTGGAGGCTCTGGTACCTAGGAGATTTAAACTTTGAATCAGCCGGCTGCCTGGACTCTGTGTATCAGTCTCTTAGCCTTGCTTTCCTCACCTCGAAGTAGGAGTGAGGACCACGTGTGTAATGAGCACGTCTTTCCACGTGTCTTTGGCACAGTAGGAACTCAGAAGGGCTCCTTGCTCTTCGTGACAGCCCTGTTACTTCCTCTCCCGAGAAACTTTCTCGATCTTCAATTCTGACTTCCCAGGTTACCAAATCCCCGTCTGATGCCACGGTTGTCCTAGCCTGATCTAGCCTCACCGATTTCAGCCACTTCTGAGTGGCTGCTCCCCCGGTTAAAGGCCCATCTCTTCCCGTGGGGGACTCTCCATCGTTTCCTAATGTAGCAAGGTCACAGATGGTGGCCACGGCCACCTGCAACTGAATGGGTGTTCTCAAAGTCTCCTGAGCCAGCCACCTCGTTTTGTCCTTCAGTGCACAGGAATACATGTGACTTCATAGACACCACATTGAAAAAAAGTAGAAAAAAGTATGTGTACACACTTCCTATTGTTTGTGTGTTTTATCTTCTTAAGACAGGCCTCTTGTAGCCCAGGGCAGACCTCCACCTCACTTGTGTAGCCAAGGTTAGCCTTGAACTTTGACCCTCCTGCCTCCACCATCTGAGTGCTGAGATTACAGGCCTGCCCACCATACCTGGTTGGCCTGGCACTGGCGATCCAATCCAGATCCCACACATGCCAGGCTGGCCCTCTGCCAGCTGAGGTGTCGCCGGCTGTATGCTGTTTTATAAAGATAACCTTTCATTGCTGACCTCTTAGGAATGGTCGGCCACCCTTTCCATTTCCCGTCCCGATGCAGAAGGCCCTCAGGAGTGCAGTGTGCCAAGGGCTGGCGCTCAGTGTTGTACCAAACACTACTTTCGCACCAACAGTTTAGAGCCACCTGCTTCATGTAAAGTGCACTGTAGTACTTCAGTGTTGGAGCTTAATTTAATGCCTTCCGTGGTCGATACTATTTGGATATAAAAGCTAAGGGCTGAGTCCATTTTCCTGCAGATGCCCGTTTCTTTATGAGCCACAGCGACCCTTGAGCCCTCCCGCCACTTCTTTTTTCTCTGAAGGTTAAGGGGTCTTTTTTGAATATGCAAGAAAAACAAGACAAAGCCTTGCCTCTGCTCCCCAGTTCTCCTTCAGCGCCCCTGCTGCTGGGTGGCACCTGAGTTGTTGCATCTACTGGTTTAGAGTCATGGTGTTGCTCTGCCTCCCATCTTCTGGACTGGCCTGGGGTCTTTGAAGTCTCTGTCTGTCTGTCTGTCTGTCTGTCTGTCTGTCTCTCTCTCTCTCTCTCTCTCACACACACACACACACACACACACACACACACACACACACACACACGTCCTGGTAGCCATAGTACAGGGCAGAGAGGAGCCCAGGCTGCCATCCAGAAAGAGTCCAGAGAATTGTGATGAACGCATTCTCGTTGTCTCCTCCCTTTGCTGTGGTACTCCAGAAAGTTCCCTGCACACAGTGGCTGACTTGCTGCTCACCAGTGCTTCGATACTGAGCCAGGTTTTTCTGAGATGCTGCATTGCAAAGGATGGAGGAGGTCCCCACCGTCGTGTGCTGTGTGTTGCTTCGAGGGTGTTTGACACACGACCCTAGCCGGGCATTGCGATGCTATAATAAAAACAAGCTTTCTTGGCCCTCGAGAAAGCTCTCCTGGGGAGGGCTCTAACAGTCTTCGCTAGTCCTGGGACACAGGAAGACCTTTCCTTCTGTAAGAGCTGTAGCTGAGAAACGAAAAGCTTGGGACTGGGCTACCCTTCTCAGAACAGGCCCTGTGGGAGCTGTGTGCCATAGGGATAGCCCTTCATAGTCTCTGGACTTGGGGCTGAAGAGAGAAGGGGGATCCAAGCTGTGGCTCCTTTAACTTCTGTTCTGAGCTGCCTCATGCTGTTGGGGGACCCAACAGGGACTCCCTGCACCCCCTTCCCTAACTTGCCACCACCTGAGGGGTTCTGTGTGACAGTTAAGCGCCTGTGTGACTTTGACAGTGGCGTGTGCCCTGTGTGGTTCTTCACTTCCTGTGCAGATCACCTTCTGAGTGTCTTCCCCTCCCCAGAGTGGCTTTCTGGGGCCCACGGTGCTCAGAAACGCTTCTGGTTATGTGGGTCTGGCTTCTCTCGTGGGGTCGGAAGGCCCTGACTTGCCTCTGCTGACTTCACCTCAGAAGCAAGCCCAGGATTGGATTAGAAACAACTGTGTGTAGAGCCGTGGTTCTCAACCCGTGGGTCACAAGCCCTTTGGCAAACAACTATCTCCCAAAAGATTTACGTTATGATTCCTAACAATAGCAAAATGACAGTTATGAAATAGCAACGAAATAATGTTATGGTGGGGGGGGGGTGTCACCACAGTGTGAGGAACTGTATTAAAGGGTTGCAGCAGTAGGGCAGTTGAGAACCAGGGGCCTATAATGAAGTGAAATCCTCACAGCCCGTGTTTCAGTTCTGAGAGGTTGGCGCCAGCTATACTTAAAACCGATGAAACCCAGCGCCTGGGCCTGGTGGGAACCGACTCTACCTCCAGGAGGCCTCACTCCTCAGTGAGCTCAGGGAAACTTCTTAAACACACTACAGTTAGCTGAATAGGTTTCTCGTGGACACTCCAGGACACATCCACCCTCCCTGTCACTCATTCCTGCTTCCCACCTCAACTCCACTCCCGTTCTTGTTTCTTAGCAGACCCTTTGAATCTTCAGGATTTTATTTATTTATTTATTTATTTATTTATTTATTTATTTACCCTTTGGTTGCCTGCCTGCCTACACTCTTTTGTTTTTTAAAAGATGTATTTATTTGTTATGTGTACATTGCTCTACCTGCATGTATCCGTGAAGGCCAGAAGAGGATGCCAGATCTCATTACGGGTGCATATGAGCCACCACGTGGGTGCTGGGAATTGAACTCAGGTCCTCTGGAAGAGCAGCCAGTGCTCTTAACCGCTGAGCCATCCCTCTAGCCCCAGCCCCCAGTATCTTCTTTTTTTTTCTTGAAAAAAAAAATTTTGAAGTTAAGTCTTTGAGTTAGTATACAGAATAATTAATTTTGAGATGCGATTGTCTTTTAAAATTATTTTATTTTTATTGTTATCTTACAGAGTAGCAGGTTTCCATGTGGAATTTTAATACTTCATTTTGCTCGATGGCCATCCCCATCACTGTTATGGCGTTTCTATATACATGTATCACTAGGCTTTGTCCTGATTTGCCCCCTTCCCCCACACGCTCTCTCCCACACCTCTTCTCCGTTCTGCGGGTCCCCTTCCTCTCCTCTTTCATGCTATTTAAAACCTGTAGCTTCCGCATTTGAGCGCAAACACACTGGTTTATCCCGGTCTACACGATTTTACCCAACATCATCATCCCTGGTTCCTTCCATTTTTTTAATGATTTATTCCATTTTCAAACAATTTAATTTCATTCTTTATAGGCCAAATAGTAGTCCACTGTGTACGTCTGTCTTCCGCATTTTCTTACCTAATTAATCTGTTGCCAAACCCCTGGGCTGGTTCCGGTAACTTGGCTGTTGTGAACAGCCCCTCCGGTATCCTGGGTGTAGGGATCTCTGTTGTCTGATGGTGTCTACCCAGGAGCCAGATTATACTGTAGGTCTACTCTGTGTTTTGGGAAACCATCATAAACCTATTTCC